TATCTGGCCTGTTCCTTTCCTGGTTCATCCATTTGCCTCTCCCATCCAACTAGTGTACTGAGGAACAGCCACGCTCCCCGCTCCCCACAAGGCAGGGGCTGCAGAGAGGAGTAATGAGCTCTTGACCCTGGGTGACCCACAGCTGAGCCCTTCCTAGAGCCCTTCATTTGTACCATCCCAGTTCCCTAATAAGCATGACTCACAGACCCACCATGACCTACGACCCCTGACCTCACCAGCGCAGCAGGCTCGAGATGCTGGCTGCAGACTTTCAAGCTGTTTTCCACAAATACCGGGTCTGCAGCAGATCTTCTCCTATGGGGAAGGTTCCCTCTCCAACCCCACTCCCCACCCCACCCCCACCCCCCCACTTACCCTTGGAGTAACTCAACCCAGATGCTGCTCTTCCCCCTGGCATGGCTCTCATGTGGCTGAGGGTCACCCTCAGCAGTGTCCAGTGAACAGTGAACTTCCTTCCTTTTATCAACAGGCTGTCACTCATCCATTTGCCTCCCTGCCCCACCTACCATCATATCAATGCTTGGGAGCTGACTCACTGGGGCATGAATTTATGTACATGAATTTACTGGTCATGCATGCCCAACCAGTACCTAGGATTGGAGTAGCAAATAAGAATCTTCCGAAGGACCCATCCCCCAAACTTGAACAGCTGAAGTGGAAGGGAGATTTTCTTAATGTCTCAAATAATGGACAAATACATTTGCAGAGTCTGGTAAACAAGAAAGCATCAAGCGGGTGGCAAGAGAATGAGTTGAGGGCAAATGGATGCATGCTACCGTCGTTTTCAAGGTACTGGCATGATTCAGGCATTTCTATCACAATCTGTGTGACCAAAAGAGAGGTCAATGAAACTATACCTAGGGACTGGCATGCTGCAGCTCACACTGCCACCAACGCCCTCTCCTCGTGTGTGTGTGTGTGTGTGTGTGTGTGTGTCTGTCTGTCTGTCTGTCTGTCTGTCTGTCTGTCTCCTGCCTCTCACTCTTGCACACATACAAAGACACAATACATGCTGAATATACATTTGATAAAAACCTAAGCCTCATGGTCCACATGAGAATAGCCATGCCCATCTCTCGCTTCATGCAATTCACCTTCAGCCACACAGAGTTACTTGTGGTCCCAGGGCACCCCCTGCCACCCTGTGCTACGAAGGTTGCATCAGTCACCCTAGGATGCTATCTCCAGCTTGGCTTAAGGGCTGGAAAGCCTGTAGGATTTCAATAGCTTCTCGCATCTTACAGGTAGCTGTGGTCACCCTCACTGAATAGATGATAAGTAATCCCAAGAAGGAGCTTGCTAAGGCCAGCTGTACTCCTAGCAATGGTGGAGTCAGGAT